GTTCCAATACTGTCATGAATGGTATATGGATAGAATAAGGTATATGTCCCTTCTAAGGGTAGGTCTAGGTTCGGCTACAATACCTAATATTATCGATAATCATCATGTTCATCATGTTCATTATGATGAACAAATAGTTATAATAATACTACCATTAAATCTATCAGCAGGTCTTGCATCTATTATTGATTTATTGTTATTATTATCATGATGATGATTATGAATGATACTATTAACATACTGTAATGTAGCAACATAATCTTCCACTGCTTTCTTAGCTGATACTTCATCAATAAGACTAATATCACCATCTACCATAGTATTATCCATCTTATGCTGCTGACTATCATCATCATCATTCCAACCCCATTGTACATCACCATCAGCAGCTTCCCATGCAATAAGCCCACCTTGAAGGTATCTGATAAGTATTATTATTATTATAAGAATAGTATAGTAGTAACAATAATAAGCTGAAGTTTCATTAATAGTACACAGTATTTAAACCATAAAGAGTAAAGATCCACCATACCCTTGGTCCAGCAAAACTACCAGGATGAGTATATACAACTAATCTATCCTTCTTGGGATCAATCTAATAATAATAACAAAAATACTAATGATGATACATCAAGTTTACCTTATTATCATGTAACCATTTATTAATAGTTGATGGAGATGGTAACATATGTGGTAATGATGATAAATGCTCATTGGATGTATCACGTATAGTATCAATATCGAATCGTATAGCTCCAGGAATCCTTCTCATCTTATAATCATCATCAGCATTCCTATTAGGATTATTCAAGTACCAACTAGCATCCACATATCTATCCCTCATAATGTTATTACTACTACTAGTAGTAGTAGCAATACCACTCATAGACTTGTTGTATTTAATTGCTGACTTAACTGCATCCCTAGCTGTAATGATGATAGAGGACATAGTAGACATGATGATAGGACAGTATAATAACACCAAATGCTTCTTCAAGAGGAGGAGATACTTATTCTCCCATCTTAGAAAACGCAACAACTCTGTAATCCACTACGAAGTGGAGTGCTTCTGATCACCATCTATGTCGGTCACACAATGGTAGACTGCGGGTAGCCGCGAAGCAAGCGTAAAGGAATACCAAGACGGCTTAAGTGCTCAAGATGATGGCGTATTTTCGCAACGGGCGCAAACAAACCGTGTCACTAAACTTTGTGTCCTAAATCACTGAATTAAGCGCGCGCGCCCCTGTGATCGGTTTATGCGCGAATTCAGATCCACACTGAAAGTGCCGTTAAGGATTAGTAAGAGGTCAAGAGGCGTCACACTATTGCGCTGCGTATCCCTTTGTTCGTACGTACTACTCTTCGACCACCCGACTGTGGTATTGTGTTGCGGAATAGTACCCGCATATCGACTCCAACACTCCTAACAAGGAATTTTCTACCGGGATGAGTAACCAAGGTGACGACGATCACGACAACGTGCAGGCCCTGGCCGAGTTGGTGAACCCAACACTGAATCAGCTGACCGAAGCAATCGGTCAACTCATCCAGCAGCAGCAGGAAGCAACCTCTCTTCTGGGAGACGTGTTGCT